CCATCAGTAGAAAGATGTTCCACCATCAGATGTAGAAAGATGTTCCACCATCAGTAGAAAGATGTTCCACCATCAGATGTAGAAAGATGTTCCACCGGGCGTGTCGTGGGATGTGATTGGCTGAAGCGTGACCTCTGTCCGGTCTTTGTGGTTCCAGGTACAACACTGAGCAGTATTCTCCGTACGCTGCTCCGTCCCCTCAGGGCTCCTACCAGCCCAGTCCCAGCCCTCAGAGCTACCACCAGGTGGCGCCCTCACCCGTCGGCTACCAGAACACGCACTCACCAGCCAGCTACCACCCCACGCCCTCCCCCATGGCCTATCAGGTAGGACCTGACACAAGACCTGGTTTTACTGTAGAAGTCCAGAATGCTTCGGTTTTATGTTACGACTGAGAAGCAGATGTTTTAATGTTTAAGTGTTGGAGACGCACCTGAGTGTGTCTGTAGCGTCACACCTGTAAATACCAAACATTAGCATCAGAAGCTCGGTCCCGTTTGTTGTTTGTGTTTTTCAGGTAGCTTCTTACTTCATATGTTGGTTTTTGTTCAGTTAAAACTCTTCAGGAGACAAAAAAAAAGTTTTAAAAGAAGTTTTATGAAGTTGTTTGAACTCCAGGCTTTAAAAATAAATCAAAACTGATTCTTGCCTCCACAGGCCAGCCCCAGCCCGAGTCCTGTCGGCTACAGCCCCATGACGCCCGGAGCGCCCTCTCCTGGAGGCTACAACCCCCACACCCCGGGCTCCAACATCGAGCAGGGCAGCAGCGACTGGGTCACCACCGACATCCTGGTCCGGGTCAAGGACTCCTTCATGGACCTGATGGGCCAGATGGGCATCATCCGGAGCGTCACGGTGAGAAACTAAGCGTCAAATCAGAACCTTTCAAATCAAATAAAAGCCGCTCTTTAAACAGACTTCCTCAGCGAGCGTCGTCACGCGTCGTCGGATCGTTGAGTCATGTGACTTCTGTGTTTCCGTAGGGAGGGATGTGTTCGGTGTTCATGCAGGAGTCGGAGAAGGTGGTCAGCATCAGCAGCGATCACCTGGAGCCCGTCACCCCCACCAAGAACAACAAGGTAGGAAGTCATGAACCTTGGCTGTAGTAGCTGGTTGCTCCACCAGGGGGAGCCTCTAATCAGCCTGTAGTAGCTCATTAAGCAGGCGCTAGCTGTCTGCCTGCTAACGAGTTGTCTGGGTTAGCTAGCTACCTGAGGCTAATGCTAAGACGCTGCTCATCAGGCGTCACAGAAAGACACCAAAACAACAGAGAGAGAACGTTTCATGTGTTCAGAGGTGAAACCATGAAAGAAACAGAATGAAGCTCAAACTCTTTCATGAGAAAGTCAAAAACCGAGTGAAGCGAGTGTGAACGAGCGTTTTGTGAATCTGCATTCTGACGCTGTGTCGATGCGTCCAGGTGAAGGTGATCCTGGGAGAAGACCGCGAGGCCACCGGCATCCTGCTCAGCATCGACGGCGACGACGGCATCGTGCGCATGGAGCTGGACGACCAGCTGAAGATCCTCAACCTGAGGTTCCTGGGCCGCCTCGAGCACTGAGGGGGGACGCACTGAGCACGTGCAGCGGGAACCACGCGCTGAAGACTCGCGAGAACGCAGTCGGCCACACAAAGACGGAGACGGGTTTCGTTAATCTGGTTTTTATTACTTTAGGAGCCAAAACCGGCCACGTCCAGCGTATGAACTCCCACCGGCAGGCGGAGCAGGAACACGGCAGACTCTGTGTGGACGTCTCTTCATTTATTTTATACCTTCTGTTAGCTTTATTTTTCTTCTAGTGGTCTGAATCTGGTTTTAGTGCTTTTCAATGTCCTGTCAGTACTTTTCTGGGTGCAGGAAGGTTTAAAAAGAAACAAACGTGTAACATGTCAATAAACTGTGAACCAGTCGACGTTTGTGTACGTGTCTGTTTTAAACGTCCTGAAGCTGGTCTGAAGGTCCGGACGGCGCCTCCGTTAGCCGCAGGGCCTCAGCGGCTGCTCGTGGTCGATGGGCAGGTAGTAGAAGGGGTCACCTGGAGGACAGGGGTGCCCAGGAGACGGGTACCATCCTGGGCCGGGCCCGGCTGCTGCGTCGCCGTGGTGATCGCAGCCGACGGTCAGGTTGCGAGACAGACCGATCTTCACCTGGAACCACACCTGTTGGCCCTGAGGAAGGAAAGACGGACATGAAACAGTTAAGAGTCTGGACGAGGTGGAGCTGAGGATGGTTTAGAAGGAAGTCCTGCAAGAAACTTCACATTTCAGCTTCAAAGAGTTTTAAGGCGAGCAGCGCCGAGCCGTGAGTGTGGACGGGTGTTAAAGC